TCATGTGATTTTCCATTTTCTTGTCCATTTGGCTCTCCATTATATCCCTATGTAATCCCCAAGTTCCAATTCTTCTATACCCCTTTAGAATCCCCATGTCGTTCCTACATATCCCACCCCTTCTATATCCCTATATAACCCTCATGTCATTCCTACATATTCCTTTATAACCCGTGCAAATGGCCCGCGCAGGCTGCCGCAAAGCTACCGGCGGCCTCGAAAACGACTTCAGCCCCAGCACAGCCAACAGGAAAGTACGGCCTCCCCGCAGCCTGGCTAGAATACAAGGAGATATGGGGCTACCTAGGGGTATGTAGGATTAAATAGGGATTTATTTTGGGGTTATATAAGGATTATATACGGCTTATAGGGGAATATGTAGAGGAATAGTGGCGAATCAGATGGAAAGGAACATTGAACATGACATGGAAACTGGGATGATGCAAGGGCTTAAGGGCAATACTCTGGGCCCCTACATATTCCCCTACAACCTCTATATAGTCCTTATAAACCCTAAACCCTAAAACGTGTGTCGTGGATGATGTTGTCTCGTTGGCCAAGGTATGGATCAAGGATGACGCTGTGGTACTGTACAAGTCATCTTCTGGTGGCGTGGCATCACTTTTCAGACCCCCGGGGGTTTAGGGTTTAAGATTTAGGATTTAAGGTCAAAGGTTTAGAGTTTTAGGGTTTAGGATTTAGAGTTTTAGGGTTTAGGAGATGCTCCGGCCTCAGTCCGTGACTCAAAAAGGGTTTAGGATTTAGGGTTTGCGGTTTGCGGCATTGAAAGTAGAACCTCGAATTCCGTACCCTACACCTACTACTATTGGGTTACTTGTAGGAACCCATCTACTTTCAAAAGCTCCCCAGGGGTCTGACATGGATTCGCAGAGGTAGCCAAGTACAAGCCAATCTGAGGGCTCTCGCAGACTAAGGAAGAGAGATGAAGGCCGGAGATTGGGGGTAAAGCCGCTGCATCGTCGAATCCGCATGCCCCAAACCCTATAGTCCCCCTTAAGTAGATAGAATACGGCTTTGGGTATATTATGGTATATTATAGTAAGATCCGCATATACCCAATATTCTATCTACTTAAGGGGGACTACAAACCCAAAACCTTCTGCAAGGTGATGGTGAAGCAAGTGAGCCCAGACAAGGCCTGTGCAGAAGAAAGCCGCCCCCCAGCTTGCTACCTTTGCTGCTGCCGTGCGAAGAGGTCAAAATTCTCTTCACCGACGGCAAGACATGGAGACCTGTCCAGATGTACGGATCAATCATTGGGGTTTAGGTTTTAGGGTCCAGGTTTCAAAACGAAGTCAGCGCTACTAAGGAAGGGCCTCTCCCACGCACAGATTCTGGCCAAGGTCTCGTTGCAGTATCATCGGTTCCCCTGCTACCCCGACCCCCCCACACTACCCCACCCCTGAATTGGGCAAATGTAAGGATGATCAGAATTTAGTAAGGTTAATTCAGGGGGAAAGGGAACCCATACTAGTGAAGCTGCTGCAAAAACAGGATGGCCCGCTTCGACCTGTCACCAGAGAGGAGAAGAGGGATCGTTCGCGCTCGCCAGTGCCGCGGCTGTTGGCTGTTGACATAAGGCTTGCCAGACCCCATAAAGGATCCAAAAAATCACCCCCCCTAATCCCCTAGTGTCTTCAAAGTGGTAATGGGTTCAGAGTGGGGGGGGGTCCATTTTTTGGTTCCTTTAGGGGGTCTGAGTAGCCATTAACCCCTAAATCCTATAATGCTTAACCCTCTTTGCCAGGCCAAACCAGTAGTGGGTTTAGGGTTCAGCTGGTTTAGGGCTTAAGCATTGGCCAGTTCCGATCCAAGGTTCAGCTGGTAATTCCAGACACTGCAGAGGTTGAGATCCTGGACGACTGAGCATTGCATGAATGGTGTTCTTCCCAGTAGCGCTGGAGCAGCTCGTGCACCCGAGCCAAAGCTCGATTGAGCCCCTGGCCACTATGTCCAGCACGACCGCTTCTCACGCTTAGGGAGGCGAAAGAAACCACTGCATGGGGATCCCTCGTTCCGGATTCTTACAATATGGGGACTAGAATATTGGGGCTAGATTTGGGCCACGTATGTCTGGAGACCCCCCATTGCTGCCACCTGCCTTACAACAAAAGGCAGGCCTGCAGGACCTGGCTTATGGCCCTTAAGTTTGCGAGGCGAGTTGAGACATGCGAGAAATCCGATCAGCCACTTCCCAGACACCCTATCGGATCCGAAGAAAAATAGAATACAATTTAAACTACATTGGGGAACTTAGGTAAGCAAGGGATTATTGGAAGGTTCCGCGCTTTGGATCCTTTAGGAGGTCGGGGGAATTTGGCATGCTGGCTAGCAGCGGCAGTCTTTGTGCACAAGACTACTGACTTTTGATGCCTGTCCCTCGCACAGCCCAGCAAGCAGGAAAAACAGCACACCAGACAGTACATCGTAACACTGCTGCAAAAAAACTCAAATCACTTCTTCATGATTCTACTGCATCATTCTGAGCAGCAGGCTTTTTGACACTTGCGAGCTAACCCTCTCCCCCTAATATTAGCCACCCTAATATTAAATACTCCCCCCTATGGAATATTATAATATATTGGAAGTATCTAATATTAGGAAGAGAGGGTTATCCGCATGCCAGCGTGAACAAGCCGCTGACACTTGGCTCCTGGCCCGAGGCAGGGCCCGCGTATATTGTAGGGAAAATTTGAGATGCTATAGGGGTAGTATGGGGATATTATAGGGGTATAGTAGGGATATCACAGGGGTAACATAGGGAATATACAGGGGTATCATGGGGATATTATAGGGGTATAATAAGGCTATTATAGGGGTATTATAGGGATACTACGGGTGTATTATGGGGATGTTAAGTTTTCAGAACTCTTGCACGTTTTGGGTAATAACCGCCAGTCACCCCATTAGAAGATTATTCCCATACTCCCGCGTACAACTCACCAACTATATCACTACTACTTCCCCATTACCAATACCAGTATAGGAATAACCAATTACCTCATCCATATTCCCTTAGGTGGCATTATCATCCTAAAGTGGGCAAAGATTCCCTCGAGATCAGAGTGTTCGGGCATTAGAGTTTGCGCGGACGTGCCCAGGCAAAGGAGGACAGCCAATGAGTTGTGTGCAGGAGGCACGAGAATTTTGCTTAGCCACAGGAGAGGGAGCTTTTTCATGCCTGGTAAACCACTGCAGGCAACCGGAGAAGCAAGTTTGAGGTGCACCCAGGAGGCGTTGCACCCTTCAGGGGAAGAAAGCTTGCATGCTCATACTGCTTTTGAAGAAACAGTGTTCATCATCAGAGGCGTCCGGCTGAGGGGGGTTAAGACCATAGCGTAGCCAGACCTCATCGGGCGGGCCTTGATGACAACAGGCGATGAGTGATCCCCCGCCTGCGGCGTCTTCTTCCTGTCATCCGCCGCTCATGGCCGGAACTTACGCTTCTGCCTCAGATTTCATTTCTCCCAGAGACGCTGCCGGCCGTTCGCCATTACAGATTAGGCACGCTTCTGATGTCATGCACCACGTTGCGAGCCAAGATCTCTATCAACTTCGATGATGGGGATTTGCCGAGGGCTTGGGACACTCTGTGCCTGCGTTCCCTGCGCTTGGGTTGGGAAGTTCCGACAAAGCAGACCGGGAATAAAGAGGAAGAAGACTCTTTTGAACGTGGGTGGCGATGTCATAGCATTGTTTAACTTGATGTGAACCACTCGGAACTATTGATAAGACTAAAGTCAGCGACGGTAGTAAGGGCAAGAATAATAGGAGCAAAACTGAAAGAAGAAGAACAACAAGAATCACAATAATTATAATCGTAGTAATACAATCGTGCGGGGTAGGATCGAGCCGACGAGAACAGGGGAACAAGCAAATGGCAGCATGACCTGCAAAGAGTCAGGACCGGCCTGGTGGCAAACACCTCGGAGGAGAGCCCTCCTACTACTCCTACTACTCCTACTACTACTACTACTACTACTACTGCTACTGCTACTGCTACTGCTACTGCTACTGCTACTGCTACTGCTGCTGCTACTAGGATACTGCATTGCTGTCGGGACGGGGCTAATGTTGTGTACGGCATGACTGTCAGGTCGTGAGAATTCCTGTTTGCTTTGTTTGCTTACTAAGGTGTTCGTTTGAGATTCTGAATTTCAAAAAAGAAGAAACCAACCACCAACCCCCCCCCCACCCCC